GGGGGGGGAGGTGTCGCATAGTTAACAAGGGGGTTTGTAGCCACAGAAGCTATTATGCACCCTTTGAACAACCAAGGCGTGGGATTTCTTGGTCCAATTTTTCAGTCTCTTTTATTGAGGATAATATGGTAGCTATGATCAATAATTTCCATAAGTTCCTTACGCTCATCACTTTCCACTTACAAAAAGAGATTTGCTTCTTGATGTGGAACAATTGTTATCATAACAAACATTTTTTGAATTGTGACATTTTTGGTTGGTATTTTAATACAAAATCTGTCCATCAGCATCCCATGAAATTCTGATGGTTTCATTATGAGGCATTGACTATAACAACTTTTTGAAGCTTTATTGACTTAAATAATCGCATACTGTATAAATACGGTCAATTGAAAAGTTAATGCCGCTCTTTGTTTAATATAAGGTGTGCAACTGGAGAAACTAAAAGCTGTGGATGTTCAGAAACTTCAGAAGGAAATCCAAGAAGAAAGAGCTAAAAATAATGAACTAAGGGAGAAACTTAAACAGAAACAGAAATCATCCAGTTCAAAACTACATAGGTAAGATATTTGGAAGTTCATTTGATGCATATTAAACTTACACAAGAGACAGGAATAATCTTAGTTCCTGGTATCCAAGAAGTTCATGATGAAACAGTGCTCCTCAAGATACAAGTATAGAGTGATAGAAATTTTGGGATGTCATCTGTTTTCAATTTAGGGAACTAAGCCTTTATGAGAGCTTTATAATTTAATAATTATGGAGCAATTTCAAGGTATTTCTTTAATGTTTATTTATGTTTGGAAATGATCATGCAACTTGTGTTAAAATCCTTAATTCATTATCAGTCTGCCAATGTGTGGAATTATTTTTGAAAGAGTCGTTAATATACAGCTAAATCAAATTTACATTTTTTTTAAAAGGTATTTTTATTTCCTTTAGAAGAGATGTGTAGCATAACTGCAATATAAGCAAAAAAAGTTTTTTATTGACTGACAAAACATTTTGAAGTTAATTGATTGAAAAGTGCATCATATATAACTTGAACCTGCTTTTCTCTGCTCATCTCTTTAGGTTCATGAGATATCTGAGAAAAGCTATATATGTAGAAAAGCAAAGTTGAGAGTTACTGTAGCATAATATTTTATTGTTTTAATTGTAACAACAAATTTCAATTGTAAGGAAAAATGCAAGTAGAATAGATCCCAGATCAAAAAGTGGTCATCAGGGAACTGACCCAGAAAGAGACCAAGGTGATGACTGGGTGTATCTAGGAGGAGAGAATGAGTCACATACCCTATCACATGTCACAAATGGCAGTCAAGGAACTCACCCAGAAGAAAATCAGGAATCATGTGAAGTGCTTGACAGCAGCCATGCAAGAGATCAGTTAGAGGAACAAGCAGCTGTTGAATCTGGTAAGGAGACCAAGCTCATGCCAGAAGAATCACTCAATGCTTTTGAAGAGTTTTTTTTAATTGTGTGAGTGTGTGCCAAAACTTTATATTGTATAAAATCTTAGATTTCAAGTGACTTACACATATTCATAAATATGAATAAAGAATCACTCATGCTTTTGAAGGGTATTTTTAATTGTGTGAGTGTGTGCCAAAACTTTATATTGTATAAAATCATAGATTTCAAGTGACTTACACATTTCATAAATCATCTCTCCTTTTTTAAAGTTGATGGAGATGGTCAAAAAGTGCAACGATTTAAGACAAAACTGGAAATGTGGAAAGCAAAAGTCATTGACATTGTGAGTTGAAAGTGTATTATAATTTTGTCATGTATTTTTACATCAGCCTTGATAGTGGGTGAGGCATACTTAATGCATCTTCTTTCCTTCACACTGCTGATGACCCATACTTTGTTATCTTCTTAACTTTCTCTGCAGCCCTTATTCTTTCTTTCTAATTTCACTAGTTTGTGTTTGTGGAAGTTGCAGTGGCTTATAATTATTTAGTGACCAGTTTCAAGCCCTGTCAGACTCACCATGTTTTTCTGAGCAAGACATTGCCCCCTTACAGTACCTCTCTCTGCCCAGGGTACAAACAGAATTCTAAAGCAATTGCTTTAGGCCCTCTCTGTGATGGACTGACATCTTTTCTTCTTATGAAGGGGATCAAGTTACAATTCCCCTAAACATTCAATTTACTCTCACTATTTTTTCTGATAATTAGTTGGGAGACAGACTGTGGGATTTCGTTAATGATGAACCTGAAGACACCGATGAGGAGGATGGTGAGGGTGATCCCTTGGCCATCAAAACGTAAGTTGCCCATAGATATGAGTTAATTGGTTGTTATTAAGTCCATACCCCATACATAAGAGTGACTAGTATCTAATTTCTCTGAACAGTATCACCCCTGAGTAACACATTAAGGTCATGAGATTAAAGGAAATGATTGCAAACTCTAGGAACTTTTAATTGATAGACAAATTCTCCTTGTAAGTACCATAGGAAAAGTATAGAGAACAGTAAGGAGAACTTGTATACTGATGTTATGTTTATAGAGAACAGTAAGGAGAACTTGCATACTGATGTTATGGTTAAAAGAGTCAATCTTGTTTAGAGTGCTGTTGCAGAATTGATGATCGATTAGGGAACATTTTTTGTGTGACCCACATTATCCCTGACTCTCCAAGTTTTTTTTCTTTTCTAGACTCAAGGAAAACATCAATAGATTCAGTAAGTATCCACTATTTATTAAGAGTGTTTGTTATACTTTTGATTTAACCCTTTAAATGCAAAGAATTCATTTGTTAATATTTATTAAACAATTCTCTCCAGAAATGACCAGCTATCTAGTATATTCCCTTGAAAGTTACATGAAGGCAGGAAAATTACTTGAAATATATTTTTTTCCGCAAAGGTACTGGAATTAAACCTATAACAGGTTTTATCAAGTCTGTTGGGAAGGTGCTCACATGGTCAAATCCTACAGCATCTTTTTTGATATTTGTGGTAAGTATAGTTTTTGATTCCATCTAATGTCTTGAACAAGCTATGCACGAAATTCTGTACATGATATTATATGTTTGAGAAGTTTTGTTTTGTTTCATGTTACAGGTATACATGTATTCTGTTTGGTACGGATATCTTCTTTCTTTAATCCTTTTCACCATGATCTGGAAGCTATTTATGAATTATCTCCATGCCAAGTGAGTTTCACTTACAAAGTACATTTTCTGTATCAGTATTTACTTTGTACTTAAGTATTACATATACATTGTGATGAAGTCAGTTTTATTTTTACCAACTTCCCATAAAATTGTGTGATGAATTGGATATGATGTTTTGCAATCTTTGCTGTCTTTCCACCAATTTTATTGTACTGACCTGTCAATGGTTATATTTTCAGAGGCATTGCCAGAAATTTGGGATTCACAGATGAATTAAAAGAAGAGGTATATTTTTAATGGGATTGTGATATACAGTAGCTGACAGTGGTTAGGTCTAAATTTCAGTGTAAAATGCAAAAGAGCTGTGGGTGATTTTGTGAAGTAATTGACTGAGGTTAAATGCAGAAATATAAGAATAGCTGGCCAAAGTTTCTCTTAATTTAGAGTTAGTGACTATTTTTGCTTTTAGTGCTCAGTTGAATTTAACTACTGACAACCACCTTAAATATTAATTTAGCAAACAAAATATTCTGGTGGAGGAAGAGCAAGGTGGTTTAAAAGCCAAGTTATTGGGCTGAATCTCATTTTTTTTTTATGAACTTGATTAATTGTCAGGCAGGTGCATCAGAAGATCACAGTTGGTCAGACAAATTTCAGCTGGTTTTGCAAGTGGCAAGGAAAGTACAAGTGAGTTTTACAATGGTTGCACTGATGGCTACTGACTTTTCATAACTGTATCTCCTCACATTTTTTGCTTTGAGAGTTTACTTTTATATGCTAATGAAGTGACAGATTCTGTTGAAGTTGGAACTCTAAACTTATTGGCTTTATGTCAGTGAATTTTAAACACTGAGGTGGTGAATGAGGCAGAGGAGGGTAATTAATTCAAGAAGTCTACCCTTGTCATGAAGTGAATGCAAGTTCACCTAAAAAATATTAACTGTATGGAAATTGGCGAACATTTTATAACAATTTAAAATTGAGAGTCAAAGGCAATCCAGGATTATAATCATTTCATTCACAATAAGTGCAATGATTGATCAAGTAATCTGGCATCAAAAACTAAACAGTTGTTGCTTGGTTACTATGACTTTTCTTCCTTGTAAGCCACCTCAGAGTTTTCTACCCATGAGCCCCTTCTGATGCTCACTTTGTTCTGATTGGCTGTTGTGAAATGGGCTCAGTTCTGTATGTGGTTAGTTTCACTCTTGTTTTCCTCCAATCAGCATTTTCTAATTTTAAAAGGTTCTACCTCTTCACCTTCACCCCCCTGTCTTTTCCCATCATGCCTTTCACCTTCAACCAGTCAGCTCTGACACAGAGTTGAACATTACATTAAGTTAAAAGATTGATAAATTTATTTGTCTCTCTTAGAATACACTCGGAAAAATGGCAAACTCTCTGGAAAAAGTAAAGAAGTGAGTTAAGTGTTGTTGCTACATGTAGTGATTTGAGAGTCCATTTCATATATAACTTTGTTATCGCCAATCTTTGATGACTGCATGACTTTTAAGCTCAGTTGCAAATAACCCAAATTTGTTGGGCTCATCAAAACTTGCTTGATACAGGCCTCATTTTCAAATAGCAGAAAAATTGACTGAGAACCAGCAGTGAGATGTGCAGTATTAATTTTTTTGTAGCTTATTAACTTGGCAACATCCTGTGGCAACAAGGAAGCTCTTCACAGTACTCAATATTGCATTTGTGGCGTCTTTAGGGCTCAGGGGACCTACTTTGTTCATGTTGTTAGGTAACAAGCTGTTTCGTAAATTTTGCTAACACCTTTAAGTTCCTTCATAACTGCATACTTTCTCAGGTCTTTTTTCAGAATGATTTTCTTTCGATTTGCTGTAAAATCAAAACCAAAGTAATCACATAGACCAATCATTGGAAAGGAATTTCTACAATTTAGCTAAGGATAGCTCAAACAAAACGACTTATTTTTATAGGTACTGTGAGAATAAATTGTCTTGCGTGACTTGTCCAGGGCTTGAACACAGCCAGTTTTGTCAACAGTAAGAAATGCAGGCATTTAGTACTTTTCACTTGTGGTAAATTCACGAATTTGTTTCTATTGACTAAATTGATATTTTTTTAGGGTTGTCTTTTGGAGTAAAGCTGTTTATAGTGAATCCCATATATCATCGCTTTCCAAAGGTAACATTTTGCTCTTTTTGTTGTTTCATCATCGACAATATACATACCTTAAACCTTTATACAGTTCAAACATTTAGTTTATACAGTTACCTCAATACATATATCCACCTTAAACCTTTATACAGTTACATCAATACATATATTCACCTTAAACCTTTATACAGTTACATCAATACACATATTCACCTTAAACCTTTATACAGTTACATCAATACATATATTCACCTTAAACCTTTATACAGTTACATCAATACACATATTCACCTTAAACCTTTATACAGTTACATCAATACACATATTCACCTTAAACCTTTATACAGTTACATCAATACATATATTCACCTTAAACCTTTATACAGTTACATCAATACACATATTCACCTTAAACCTTTACACAGTTACATCAATACATATATTCACCTTAAACCTTTATGCAGTTACATCAATACATATATTCACCTTAAACCTTTATACAGTTACATCAATACATATATTCTCCATACTGTTCTCCATACATATCCTGAGGTGCTAAATATTAGGAGAATTTGTGTAACAATCAAGAGCTTCTTTATTTGGTGATCATTTCCTTTA